ATTATTATTATTATTATTATTATTATTATTATTATTATTATTATTATTATTATTATTATTATTATTATTATTATTAAGGAAAAAAGATAATTAGTTGTAAATTTTTAAATATTAAACAACTACTACGTAAAAGGATGACTAAAAATACCTCTTCATCTGAAGATATTTCCACCTTTTCATTATCTTGACCATTTCTGACATCCGACGGGCGTTTGGTAGCCATAAATACTTGACGATCTACAACTTTTAGCTTCTTTAAAGTTGTAGCGTTATCTTCTATTTGTAACTCTTTTCCGGAAAAGAACAATCGAATAATTCCAGGTCGTGGCGCTCCAATTCGTGAAGCAACTTTCTGACGTAAAGAAAGGACGGTTTCTGATAGATGAACTTGTATTTCAAATGTCCGTGTTGCCTAATTTAATCATTATATTAGAAACAATTTGAGTATTAATGTAATAATTTATATAATTTAAGCGCTTACACTAGCATTATTAATGGTGACTTTGACGGTAATCATCTCTCCGTCATTAAGCATGCCATGCCTTCTTATAGGTTTTTGTTCAATCTGCGAATGACTATATTTTGTATCAAACAAATCCATAAATGACTTTAAAACCTGTAAACATCTCTTAAATTTCAAAGCGTTAGAGGTTGTGTTAGTAGTTGGTATCTGCGTTTCGTCAGGCATGCCATCTCCTAGCACCACACTTTGTTTAATCCCTTGCTTTAAACTATAATTTTCTGCAGGAAAAAGAGATGAATTGGACAGTCCGTTTGCAGCGGCAAAAAGATGCGCAACACATTTATCAACTAACGCTTCACGATGTTGACGTGATAAAGTAGTGTAATTTTCTAATTTTTTATCCGTCTGTTAAAAATTGTTTAATGGAAAAAATCAATATTTTTCAACATACATTCAGTTAAAATAAATGAATAAATAAATTAAAATAAAAAGAACAAAATAATTACTAACATTCAAATGAAGATATACTAAAAAGACAATTGCTTCTTTGCCAACTGCTTCCTCTTCTGCACGAAGAGCGATGTCCCAAATAAGATCTATACCAATGAGGTCACCCTGAACGAGGATACTTAATTGATTTTGTGACTGTAACTGTGCAGTTGGTGATGCCTATTACAATGGTATAAATATTAATAGAAATTATTTAATTATTAGATTCTACAGCATAAATTTGTGAATTAATAATATACAGCATGTAACACATTCTTTGACTTACGGATCGTAATCTTGAATTTTTCGTATTAACTTTAAGTAAACAATTCTTCGCATACTTGAACGCTTGATCCGAAAAATATTTAACATCTAATTTCGGCAATTTATTACTAAAGAAATGGCTAGTAAAATGTTCGTATTCTGTTATGCTATCTAAATACGAAAAGGCTTCATCTTGTTCTTGCTTGCCGATTGGATCAGCAATCAAACATTTCCAAATAACATCAGTCTGAACTGTTGAAGTAAAAAAAGGAACTGCTTCGTAATTTGCGACCCATTGTAAAAATTGTAATCGAGAAACTAACTGATCTTTCAATGCGGCAGCTCTCGATGGAGATAATATAGCTGACAATGAAGGCCCAACATTTGGAGACATATGGTCTTTCAGATCGATGGAAATTAAGAATTAGATCAATAGGAAAAAAAAGAGATGATACAAAAATTTCAGTCTCACCAAGTTCCATGCTGATAGAATTTCCCACTCTTTCTGTGTAAGATTTTACAGTTTTTGTCCAATGTTCCAAGTCATTCAAAAATAATTGTGGTAATTCCATATTCGTAATTAAGAAGCGTAAATAATCCGCAGTGCTAACGCCGTGTGTAGGAAACGGTGGTGCTTTTTTATAAAGATGTATATTTTAAGACTAATTAGTAGAAAAAAAAAGGAGCATTCAATTAACCGTTAAAGCACTCGTACGTACATATAATTCGTGTCAATATCCTTAAGGCCCACATTGTGCCGGGATCATGTCGCTTCAAACATTCAATACACATGTTAAGTAATTTATTTCGATCATCAATGTGAGTTTCACCTTGTAACAGATTAGTCAAAAGGGCACATGCACTAGAGGCAATTTCTTGATCGATTGCTGTGGTTAAAGGTGATGACCCAGCAACCGTTGGTGACAATATTTCGGCATTAAATAAAATAGGTATCGGAATGGAAGAATCGCAAAGTATACGCCACAATATACGATGAGCTGCGAAAGATATACACGATACAGGCTAATACAAAATATATACGCATACATCAAGTTAGATAAAAGTATATTGCTTATTAACGTACAAAACAATACGCACCACACCGCTTAGCCTTACGTCATTAGAAGTAGAATGCACTAATGTTCGTATTAATTGATATGTCTGAGATTCTATGAAACTCATTGGCATTTTCATGAATTTTTCAAATAAATAATCTCTCTGGTCTTGGTTTAAATGATTTGATATCTCAGTTAGCACCTGACAGACACCATGAATTATACTGCGATGCTGATTTCCATCAACAGGTGCCCAAATAATATCCAATTCACGTGAGGTCAATGATCGAGTATGTATAAGAAACATTAAAATATCAGTACAGCGCTGAACGACCTCTAGGTGAACGTTCGATCCAAAAATATATTCCAAAATTCCATGTTCACGCAACTTTTCGTTTAATCTCCTACAATTATATTTTAGGAAACTTTAATACTTAAAATAATAGATAAACGAAAATGTCAAGCGCTTACAAATATATATATTTGAATACCGAAGAATTTTATCAGATGGACTTTCCTCATCCATCTGAACAGCATCATCCTCGCCATCGATACTTAAACTTCTTTTTCGAGTGTTACCTCTACGTCTACTCTTTTTGAGAATTTTTGCTTGTCTAAGACCAAGGAGGAGGGCCTCTTTAATTTCATTCAACCCGGTTAACCGCAAGTCTAGCCTCGAAGTTTTCAATAATCGATTAGCGATATCAATTTTCAATATTGAACTTCTAATAACTTGTTGTTCATCAGGAACTTCCTGGAACAATAAATAATCATTGTCCTCATCATCTTCCTCACCCGACGATATCATCGATTGATAGTTCCTTTCGATTTCTCGGACGACTCCAGTAACCGAGGACGGTAGATTCAAAATCATGGAGGTAACCATGTGTACGATATTAGGAATTAATTTCTTTTCTTGCCGAATAAGCCATTCTTCAGGAATGTTTACGATTTGATTCTGAACGCATTGAGAAATTCTCATGACAAATTGCCTAAAATCCACGTTATTAGGAACGTAATGTCCGATCTATAACATTTAAATTTTAAATAAACTTCACAAAAGCATTACTATTAGTAAACATCCAAATTCTTTGCGAACCTTGTGGATCATTCTGACTAAGCCATGAACATCTTTCAAATCGAGGGTGCTATAGGAATACGAGACGCTTCTTCGTTGACGTACTTCTTCATCATAACCAAGAGCTCGGGTAATAGCGCCTAAACCATCTCGGTTGATAAACGATTGGATGGCTTCAAATTGGTACTGTGATATACGGGGTTCCAACTTTTGAGGTGTGCAAACAAGTGCCAGGCATACATGAAAGGCTTTGTCAGCACATGATAGTAATGAGAAACCACCCAGACATTTAGAAAATCGTCATATGTTTCTTCTAAACCTGTTCCATAGTTATAATGTCACTTGAATTATCATCATATTCTACTATCTATAATTATTTAAAAGTTATTAATAATGGTACTAGCGTTAAGCTTTGTTTGACAATGACTTTATACAAACCTCTTCGACGTCACCGGCCATTCCCATCATAACGGGATTGACGCCCACGTCTAAGCGCCTAGAATCAAACCGACCATCAAATCGACGATAAAACGATGCACTATCATCGCCCAATATACGAGCAACAGCATCTTGCATTAATTCTGAGAGTGGAAATTCTTCACTGCCCACATTCATGGCTTCTGGGTCATCCATAAGGCGGATAGCGATTTCAAGAACCTTTATGAGAAATTGACAAATAGTGCTAGCAATCATAGATGCTTGTGAAGATGTTACTGCTGGATACCTTTATAAGTGCAAACATTATAAAAGTGAATCTCGTTTAATCGATGCCCTTACGAAGTTATTATAAACAAACAAATAATATACCCTCTATTTAAAAGTACAATTGCATATTTAGGTAGCCATTCTTTATTTAATAAATCAATGATCTGTTGATGGCCTTCAGCAGTTGTTCGATTTAAAAGGATGTGATTTGCAAGTTCAATGAGTCGATTGACTGTTTTATAAGGATTGGACGCTAATTACAAATATTCATTAAGAATATAATAATATGTTAGAAGTTTATTATATGTAAAAGTGTAAATTCATTATTCAGGCTGATCTGTACCTTCTTTTAACTCTATTACATATTTCTCGAAGTCAATTATATTCTCCTCGTTTTTTGACGATCGTCTCCGTGAGCTCGTAGAAGAAGTTTGTGAGTGCCTCCTTCGTTGCCCAGGCTCGCTATCATCATCAACATCATCGTCGTCAGACACATAATCTTCTTCGTCCTCTGATGATGATGTAATTTGTCTATGTTCTTTACGGTTGTTACGGCCACGATGAGATGAATGCTGTTGTCGCGGCGCTTCTGAAGTTAAGGCAACTCTCTTTTTAGGATGTTGCTCATGATCTCGGCGGGACACATGAGTAATTGGCTTTGTCACTACGACGTCTTCTTCTTCGTGTCCTTCATAATCGTCAGCCTCCTCTATCTCGTCGTCATCATCATCTTCGTCTTCGTCATCGATCTCATCGTCTTCGTCACTGCTACTTAAACTTTTAGAAGTCATTGGACGACACAGATCTTCCTTCGCTGACGAATTTTCTTTATCACTGAGTGCATCTGAATCAACTACTACTACATTATCCATTTCAGACTCATTAAGTTCGTCGTTTTTTCCTTCAGAACTTTGTTTATCGGTATCTTCTTGGAGGTCTTGATTGTGAAAGTCTGCTTTTTGGAAAGATTCCCGTTCTAAGGGTTGCTGTTGTGACATGTCTAAGGAAGCTGACGCTCACGTAAATCTCGAATAATATTAAGATCGAACTACTGTTGGTTTATTTATAGTAAAAAGTCTTGATCGTTTAAATTTATCTAAAGCAAGTAGGCAAAACACGTGTCATGACGAGAATGTGAAAATGCGGAACTGTCTACAGAACACAAAAAATGAGATGCTAACCTTTTTTTGAGCTTTGACGTTACTGATTGTGCGTACCCTGAAATCAAATGTACGGAACAGCCGACAATTTGAACAGGATAGAAACCGCGTTGCCCTCTTATAAACCAATTGGTGTATAAAGAAAGTCACTCTCGTTCAATTAGGAGAAGGGATGATGGTAGGATGTCCGGAGGAAATTATTTTATTTGAAATCAATGACTTTGTATCACGTTGTACTGGTGACGTAGAAATGAATAACATTACTTTGTGATCACAAAACCAAGCTGTTTAAGGATTGTATAAATAACATCTCACCCTTTCCGTTAACGATTAAATTTTTTCCTTTTAGCAACCATACTAATCTTTTAATCAATTTCTCAGTGCCTTTTATATGTTTTATTTTACGCAAACACGAATTGTTTAGACCTTACTCTCAATCAAATATTTACTCTGAGGGAATATTGCAAACTTTTTTATGACACTTACAACTAAGGATGTTGCATCACGTTTGTTTTAAGCATTCTAAACATTTTACAAACTTTCAGTTAAAAAATTTTTATGAATCGAGTGAGTTGCTTGAGTGGAATCCGTGTTCACGCATTAAAGGTGCGCAAAATCACGTTGCAAAAACAATATATATATATATATACTGTATATGGGAATTGTCTCACTTTTTAACGTGACCTTGGAAAGGTTGATTTGGATAAGTTGGATAATCAAGCATATAACATGACTTTGGATATTCGGACATACCAAAACTGTATAACAGTATTTAACTATATATTAAACGAGTTTACTTAAGCAAATTATAAGCTAAATTTTTTTACAGTATATACAGTATATTGTAGTTTAAAAAATAATTATAAGTTTTTTTGGGTAGTTTCAAGGGATCTCTTGCAGTATAGGTTATACCTTCATTTTTTCCGGTGAATGTGGAGAATATAGGCATCGTGACTTAAGTCAC